ACACACACACACACACACACACACACACACACACTGAGTCAGTTAAGCTTATTACTGTCTTTAGCTCCCTCATTGCTTCACATAAACAAACAGAACACTATCACACAAAAAAACACAAGAGACACAAACATACTCCGTGTACACAACACAACACAACAAGAGTTTGCATGCAGATCGAATCACGATGAAGCATAATGCAAAACTGTGACGATGCAGCCGACAGAATCCCCACAGACTCAATTAATTACAGATTTATTTTCACATGTTATTATGTCTAGTCTTTAAGTCTTATCTTACCCAGACAATCCCTGATCATGTATCACCCTGTTCTTCCAAATGAGTCAGATAATTGGGGAGATAATTAGCAGAGAAACTGCAAAACAAAACTCGTGGAGACGTAATAAATCAGCCCAGAATCCCAATCTGCTCGGTTTGAATGAGTCTGTGGGGTTTTATCAGCTCCGAATCCAATCGGCAGTGATGGAGACGTGACACTTGTGTGTGAACACGATAATTCTACCACCTGCGTTCAAAAAAACCTGCGTATTTATTTATACACCTGCTAATTTTGTTTTAATGTGATGTCAAGAAAAATGGCTACAAAGAAAAAAACAATGTGCTCCTTTAAGAGCAGACAGATCAGTCAGACTGTTGTGTAAACACTCAGTCGCCATGAGAACCACGTTCACCACCATCTATTTCAGGGGATAATTACAAAGAGTGAAACAAACTTTGAAATTGAGCCACATGTTCCGATCATTCAAATCAATAATCTCTAGGAATAAAACCGATGCCTCCCTGTTGGCTGTTCATTACACACGACTGTATCACGAAGATAATTGCGTGTGCTTTCTTTGCAAAAGTAGCACAGTGGGTATTAGCATGTGTTTGTGCTGCTGCAGATGGAGCGAGTGAACTCACAGAGTGTGAATGGAATAGAGGTTAATCCGACCCCACCGGCTAAGTGTTTCCTTCCAGCACATTTGTATGCAGCAAGACGCCAATCGCAGATATTCGAAAGTCTCTGTCTAAAGAAAGAAAAGAGGATTGTGTGTGTGCGTGCGTGTGTGTGTGTGTGCGTGCGTGTGTGTGTGTCATATCAGTCCCTTTGTATTGGGACTAAAATGGAAATTGTGCGTAGCTGCTTTTCTATTCAGTGATCATCGTCCTTGAAAGTCCACATTTTTCAGTTTTATAGCGATAAAAACATCTTGTTGATTTTCAAATGTAGCTTTTTTTTCAACAACTGTTTCAGGCCGTCCGTTAACGTCCGGAAATATCACATGACATATGTTGAATTTAGCAGTTCTCTAAGTCACGACTCTATCATGTGACCGGCACCAGAGAAAATGCCACGGGCAGGGACTCGACGTCCGACACTGTTTGAATGAAAATGTTAAACTTTCTCTGGAAAGTACAGACATAAACGAAAGTCGATAATTGTAAGGATCCAGATTTGATGTGTTTCTGGTGTTTATGGTTCCTGGAGTTTCACAGCTCACTCTTCACAGTGTTAGAGTTTGATTTTACTTTTACAAGAGTTTACAATTAAAACAAACTCCCATTGATGTGGAGGATTTGATCAAATCCATCTGTTTATACATCCATCTGTCCATTTACAAATCCATCCATCCATTTCTCAATGATCCATGCATCCATCCATCGTCCTTTACTTTTAATTTCTCAATGATCCATCCTTCCATCCATGTTCATATCTTAATGATCCGTTCATCAATAATTTATCCGCCCATCTCTCATTCAACTACCCATCCATCATCACCCATAACTCCCTCTGTTTTCTGATGAGCTGTCAGAAGATGCTCCTCTCACACTTCTTTCCTGCTCCTCATATATTTTCAGCTCAGCCACATCATATCTGTTTCTGTGTCTGTGATAAAAAGACAACCGTTCTCCTGCCAACATTTTCTCTTCCAGTCTCTTCTTCCATCGAACTTTACACCTGCTGAAGATCGATACCTGCTGATGCAGCGAGTTACTGGTCTTCCGCCTTTCACACAGTCGGACCTTCACTTTTTTATTTATTTATTTTTTTTAACTTGCGGCTTTAAGAGAGCCCAGCCCTTGTTGCTAGGAGACAGGGGGCTCAGTGTGGATGAGGAGGCTGAGGAGGCTGAGGAGATGCTGCTGTGACGCTCGTCTCTGGACCAATCAGAGCAGCCGGAGAAGGGGAATCACACAGGCAACACGTCAAACACAACAACACAGGGACGAAAAAAGGGCTGAAAGTTTTAAATCGCTCAAAACGTTGTTGTAAAAAATCAGAATACAATGAATACAAATAAACACAATAAGAGAAAAGTATTAACATCTGGCTACAGACATCAGATTCCTTGACATGACTTTATTAGAATATTGAATGATTTAAGGTTTAAACTGCAAAAATCTGAAAGTACACGTTGAATAAAATAAATATGACGAGATGGTATCCTTTTGTATTTAACACGTGAGCGTCAAATTATCATTGACATCATTCTCTTCTCACACAACGTGAGGATTATGAAAGGTTCCACGTGTTCTACTGCCTCAAAGTTAATAATAAAACACGTTTACAGCTGTTATGTTAACTTTGAATGAAACAGTGGTGAAGATCGGCACGCTGCCGATGGTACTGATTAATCCCAGGAAACACGGTGCTGGTGTCTCTGTGAAAGATGCATGAATTAGGGGAAACAGCTGAATATCAGTAAACAGCCTGTAAACAGCAGCGAGCAGGTTCCTCTCTGCTGTTACCATGTGGAAGAGATGACGTGAGCAGTATCCATGGGGGAAGTGTGTGTGTGCATCAACAGTGCATGTATTTTCAGCTCCGACACATGCAGTAGGTGAGAGAAACACTGTTGCCATGGATATAGCCCTCCCTCTCCTCTTTTGAGTGTTTTCTGTGAACCCCTCCTCCCTCTCTCACTCTCCGCTCTCTTTCTCTCTCTCTCTCTCTCGCTCTGTAACTGAAATCTGCGTGTAGTGTAGCACTGTCGCTAAAGTGCTTTCAATCAATCGTCTTTACCGATAGTAAAGTTTTTAAACAATGTTAACAAAGCCCTGAAGTTTGATGCAGATATAAATCATTTAAAACTAATTTGATATTTTAAGGATTTATGTATTTGGTCCTGATTAGATTAGGTCCTGATGAAATGTCCAAACTGTAATGAAATGCAGGTACTGAACAAATATTTGAGCTGAAATTCCTTTAAGTTTTAAATGTGTACAATCGTGTGTATTCGGAGCGTTTGAGTGAAGTTATATTTTGGACGATAAGTTTAAAGTTTGAATGTATGTTATGAGGTTCAGACAGGTAGCAGTGTAAGGGTCGGGGGGGTTGTCATGCACACCCTGAATGACGTGCTGGTAAAAGAGAGGGCTGGTAAAAACCTGATGGATCTTTAGACGTCCACATAATTATGGATGTGAATTAGATTCATTTCCTCAGGCCTTTTAATTGAAGGCGCTCCAGAACCTCTTCAGATTGACCCGACCCATTTTAAACTCTTTCAGTCTCAGGTCTAAATGACGGACATCCTATGAAATTAATTATAATAATAATAATAATAATAACAATAATAATAAAATACATTGCATCAAACAACAAATACAGTCTGCTTTCAATTGATGTTAATTAAATGCAAAGACAATAAGAATGTTTTGCTAATGTGAGGTCTAACTTTTCTTCATGTCTCTTTATCTAATGCTGGGACAAAGACAGAATAAAAAGCCCTGAATGTTCTCTTTGTATGATATGTCTGTCTGTGTGTGTGTGTGTGTGTGTGTGTGTGTGT